ATGCACACAAGCAAAGCAAAACAAGGAATTCATTCACCACTTCCCATTGCAGGCAGGTGTTCAGACATCTCCAGGAAAGGAGGGCTCCATGATGAGTAACAGTTACTTGGGAAGACAAACACCATCACTCTGAACATTCTCTCACCTCCTCCTTCTTCCCTCAGTTTTTTATGCTGAGCATGATGCCATATGGTATGGAAGATCCCTGTGGTCAGCTGGGGTCAGATGTCCCAACTTCTTGTGCACCCCGAACCTACTCACTGTGGTGTGTGGGGTGAGGAGCAGAAAACGCCTTGTCCCTGTGTAAGCACTACTCAGCAGTAACTAAAACATCACTGTGTTACCAACACTGTTTCCAGCACAAATCAAAAACACAGCCCCATACCAGCTACTAAGAAGAAAATCAACTCCATCCTAGCCAAAACCAGCACAGCAGGACAGAAAGGCTGATATAAAGGTCTGAATCATACCGACACAGATGTTCACTGTGCCCGTTGCCAGACTCTTTTGCTAGAGTGTGCATTGCTTTATGCTGTGGAGCTCAATGGGGAGTGAATGTAATGGCAAATAAATGTGCTTCTAATACTATTATTTCATCCATAATTCAGTGCTTCTAGGACCACTGGCAGAGCTCATAATTAAAGGTTTTGAGAAACTATATTACTATTTCTCCTAATTTTGCAAATTAGGGAAGCATTCAGACCAGGTCTTGGCACAGCCTGCAAGAGAAGAACCGTTGCAGCATCATGTCCCTTGCCTGGAAGCCAGGCATAACTAGACCTTTCCATTTCACATCATCCAAATCAAGCTTTGCATTCATAGAATCATAGAATGGTTTGGGTTGGAAAGGACCTTAAGATTATCTAGTTCCAACCCTCCTGCCATGAGCAGGGACACCACACACTAAACTATGTCGCCCAAGTCTCTGTCCAACCTGCCCTTGAACACCGCCAGGGTTGGAGCATTCACAACTTCCTTGGGCAACCTATTCCAGTGCCTCACCACCCTCACTGTGAAGAACTTCTTCCTTATATCTAACCTGAACTTCCCCTGTTGAAGTTTAAACCCATTACTCCTTGTCCTGCCACTACAGTCCCTAACGAAGAGTCCCTCCCCAACATCCTTATAGGATGTTGCATTCACTGCATTCATGTAACTAATGAACAATTATGAATTCAAAGAATTAACTTTTTGGAGGAAATTGTAGGCAGGAATGTGTTAGATAGTGGGAGAACTCTGAGGCCAGTTGAATTGAATACTGTTTATCAAGCACTGCAAGTATTTTTCAGAACCATCATGAGAATCAAAGGTCTAGTCACCTGCCAAGGATAAATGCTAGCCTATCTAAAATCCACTTTTAAACAGGAAACTCTCCCATCCAAAGCTGGTCCAGCTTTATGGAGTGTGCACACATCGCAAGCCTCTCTATGTTGTGACTGAGTTCATGGAGAACGGCTGCCTGCTCAATTACCTCCGGCAAAGACGAGGGAAACTCGGCAGAGACATGCTGCTGAGCATGTGCCAGGATGTGTGCGAAGGGATGGAATACCTGGAAAGAAATAGTTTTATTCACCGTGATTTAGTAAGTGCAACAGGTTTTCTGAGGTTCTTGACAAATATTGGCAGTACGGAATGTGCCACTGCATTTTATGGGACACTTATGTGTCCTCTAAGACTTCTAGGATTTAACAAGCCAAAACTGTTTTCCTGGCTAACCAGAACCTTTCAGCTGTCCTTTTGTCCATGGACAGCTGGAAAAATTACTTGAGAGATCAGAGAAAATTGGGGTGTTAGCATGGAGGAGGCTGTTGTTAGGACATCCCAATACAAGAGTATTATGCAGTGATCACAACACAACCAAAATCACAGCAGTACAAAAGGTCAGCAACAATGAGGATTTTTCTTTTTTAACAAAATTTTTTCTATCTACAGTTTTTTCTGCTCCCTGCTACCTCACCTTGATGCTGGGACGTATGGGTGGCTTTTCTACCCTACTCCTCATAGGCAGGGAATCGTAAGAGAAGAGCTTGTTTCTTTACTCTCTGCTTTTCAACGCTCTCATTTGGATGCAGAGAGGAAATCTTCCTGTGCTCCTCCCTAGCTTCCAAAAGAAATAGAAAATCTTGAAAATTTCCAAGGAGTTCCTAATTTCTGTGTTGAAAAATCGCAAAACAGTTTTTTAAAGTTCACATTGAGTGTCCTAATGCTAGTGTCCAGGAAAATATCACCTTTGATAACTAGGCTCTGCAGCCTAAAATTTATTTTACTGTGCAAAAATATTGCAACTCATACTACAAGCACTTAAGCAGATTATATGCTATGTATGTATAACTACACAGTAATGAAATATGTTCACTGACTCAGAGACAGAAATTCACTTATATTTTTGAGCAAGACACTCATCTCCCTTTAGAGTATAAACAGTATAAGCTGAAACAAAAGTAGTCAGCTGATGTATTTCTCTTAAAATGCTTTAGCACAGATTTCAGATATGTTTTTCTCATTTTTCCAGGCTGCAAGAAACTGTCTAGTCAGTGCGGAGCACATCGTTAAAGTATCTGACTTTGGCATGGCGAGGTATGAGGCCATTGACGTGGGTTTCATGAGCACCTGTTCTCAGTCAGCTGCTTGCTTTGCTGGTTTGGGGAATCCCACTGTGGTCAATATTTGAATTCTGGTGAAAATTATAACGTTGTTAAGCTGTTGCACCATAAACTCGACATAGTGTCTTCCTCTTGCTATTGCTGAGTTTAAGACAAGTAAACAAAGTGCCAGGTAAACTTCAGAAGTATTTATGGGCAGAGAAATGCCCATGGTGCACAGGGCTGCCAGAAACAAGTTCTCCAACTTTTCTGGGCACTGGGGAGGACAGAAGGTCCCCAGGGACAGATCTGGGTGCTGGTGCTGACCTGTAGAGGCTGCTGTGTTGAGTAGGTCAGGCAGGAGGCAAGCAGGACCAGCAAGATGGGCAGGAAGTGTGATATGTGCTGCTCTAGTAGGGAAGTGGTTTTTCTGCTTCATGAGAGGACCAGCCAAAATGGGGAAAGAGAGCATGACACACTCTTACAAGCAAAGGATAGAGTAACTTAAATCTGTCCATACAGGCTTCCCCCACAGGATATGCTATATTTTGTAGCTGAGCTGACTGAACAAATGACTGCTACCCAAAGGGGTTGTCTCACTCCTTCTTTCTTACCCTTTGCAGCCCTGCACAAATCTCTCCACTTCTGTGTTTTACTGGATGGTTTTTGTTCTGGATTAGTAGACTGAATTGGCTCACTTTGGAGGCAAATAAGCTTGACAGGCAGTGGATGACTAAGCAGGATGTGGTGGTGACATTCACGTTGTGCTGCTTACCTTTCCCTTTGGTTTTGCCTCCTATTTCTAACCTAAGATTACAACACCCTAGCAGTTCATAACTAAATACTTGATTTCTGTCAATGTGATCTCCTTGAAAAGGGGCTTTAAAAGATGCCAATGCATTAGATCTTCCATGAGAACAAATGTTGTGTAGTGCACATCTGCTGTCTGCTCAGGAACATTAATACTGAGAAACTGTGCATACAAGCCTTTTAAAATGCTGCCCTATAAATGCCTGCAGTAGGCACATCTTATCTGGGCGGTCAGCTCCTATAAGTTTGTGCAAAGAATCACAGAATCATAGAATACCAGTTTGAAAGGGACCTTAAGGATCATGTGGTCCAACCTTTCTAGGCAAAACATGACCTAGACTACATGTCCCAGCACCCTGTCCAGCTGAATCTTAAAAGTGTCAAATGTTGGGGAGTCCACAATTTCCCTGGGGAGGTTATTTCAACAGCTGATGGTTCTCATTGTGGTCACCAGGAACAAAGGGGGTCCAGGGCAAAGGAAATTACTTTTCCGGTGCACCAGAGCTGTTGCCTTGTATGTGATGAACGTTTCCATCTGTGATGCTTCTGTAATGATGTGACGGGTATTATATCTGTGAGGTTTGGTAGTTATGAAATGTAATCCTCTACCAGTACTGTTTGGGTGCAACAAGTACTGTTACAGTGATACCATTTACTTGATTCTTAATTGACATTGTAATTTTATGAGATTATAAACCATCTATGGAGATGTCACTGGAACTGCTTGCACTTCAACTATCATTCAGCTGTATGCAGTCTCCTATTATTCTTTAGGTATGTCATCGATGATGAATATATCAGCTCTTCGGGTGCCAAGTTTCCGATCAAATGGTCATCTCCCGAAGTCTTTCATTTCAAAAAATACAGCAGCAAATCAGATGTCTGGTCATTTGGTGAGTTGATTAGGTGAATGTGCAACATACCGTGCTTCCCTAAAACTACTGATGTGATTTATGAAAGTGTAACTTCTTACTCATGCTTCCTATCTTAAGCTTTAGTTATTCCCATTTTTCAAGTCTTGCCTATATTGGACAACCATGTTTCTCAATAGAAAGGCTCTATGCCTAAAAATTAGATTCTGACTGAAATGTGCATTCTTGATAAGTCCCCATTAGCCAAATGTATATTCATCTCAGTTTCATGGACCACCCTTGGCTGACTTAAAGGAGAGCAGAATTATATTAGTTGAAGATGGGTTTGGTTGCTCTTTTCATTCAGTTCAGGTTGCCCATATTTTCATGCATTTTTCAATACACAAAAAATCAAGAGTGGGTTTTGTTCTTCTGGTGTTGTTAAATAGCTTGTGGGTTTGGGGTTTTTGTTTTGTCCTAAATATCTTGGTTCAATTCTAGGTGTACTGATGTGGGAAGTTTTCACAGAAGGCAAAATGCCTTTTGAAAGTAAGTCAAATTCTGAAGTTGTCCGTGAGATTTCTCGGGGTCACCGACTTTATCGACCACATTTGGCACCACATGCTGTGTACAGAGTCATGTACAGCTGCTGGCATGAGGTTTGTTGTCTGTTTTTCCTGTGGTATTACTTTATTACTGATTCGTAATGTGGATCTAAAAGCAATCTTAAAAAAATGGGGCATTAAATCCTTATTTCACATCTGTGGCAACCTCAATATCTCTTCCTATGTTTTCACAAATCACACCTAGGCTTACAAGCCTGTTTCTTTTGACTGTTGCATGTAATAGACATGAAGCACATCATCAATACAATTGGTCTAGACCATCCCTTGTTTTGAATATGCCACTATCATCTTGCTTCTCTGACGCATCAAATGTAATAGCTTTTCCACACCTCTTTATCATGCTTTGCTTTTTCTAGCTCTGCTATGAATGATAACCTTAATACATTCATATGCAAAGTAAGCATGCCCACTAAATGTGGATTTTAAACCCCGTTTTTCAGGTGCACGTCAGTACATCTGCACATCACTACAGCTCCCGGGCTGTGTCTCCTTCACCCTCTCCACTCTGATTTAGTATTTTATGTTCTTTCTCCAGTTCTCTAGCATCTATTTCTTTCTATATCAAAACATTGATCTCATCCACTTCTCCATCAGAGCAGTCCCTTAAGGTCTCCTTAAGAAGTCTCCTTCTCTAGTGTCTACAGGAAATTTATCTTTAATTTGAAATAAAAAGCACTTTCAGAAGAGCTTTGTGTGCAATGCTTTCACGTAAATAGGCAGGCGTACACTTAGAGTAGCCAAGGAACCTTGTTGCTGTCATTATGTCCTTTTTTCTGTCTTTCTTTTCTTGCCCATCTTTTAACTCTATATAAAATTTGTAGACCCTGAGTAAAAAAGCTTAAGAGGCTGAAATCTAAACTGCATCTAACTTGTAAGCCATCAAACTGCAAACATGAATGCCAGCCAGCAGAGGATGGGGAAGAAGTTCTCTCTTCTGCCTGCCATTTAGCCAGGGCTTTGTTCCATACTGACCTTCGGTACATCAAATGATAAAGCAGGTTGTTTTGCAGCAACCCAGGAAACATTCCTGAGTATCTTGGTTTCCTGAGAGGTAGGGCTTTCCAGTGACCTGTTGCAGGGGTGAAATCCTATAGGAATTCTGGTCCAGAATTGAAATAAATATAAGGTATTTTAGGAATGCTTGGAAAAGTGGCTGTGCTCATGCTGCTGGTGTCATGAAGGACAAATGATTTTTTTCCCCTCAAAATCATAAACTTGATCTTTTCTTCATATTAATAAAAGAAAATGTAATTTTAAAGTGGTAGCTCATATGAGCTTGTAACCATCTTCTAAAGTCTGATAATATAATTGAGCAATCTGCTAATACAAGTTTATCCTCTGCTTTTCTGTTCAGAAACCTGAAGGACGTCCTCCTTTTGCAGAGTTAAAAGAGACACTCACAGATATAAGAGAGAAGAGATAATCAGAGATTTTACACCCATATATTTACTGAAAGGCTAGCATGAAGCATGTCAATAATCTATCTGGTCCAGAAAACATCAGCCTTTCACACAGTCTCTACTTAAATCACCAGCATCCTATATACTGAAGTAGATATTTGGGCTTGGCCTTAATTTTTACTTATTTGAGAGATAGGAGACTGATTCGGGACTCTCAAGGCTTTGTTTTCATCATCACAGAGAAAAACCTCTTGTCTGAAAGAAGTAACCAAGCTAACTCACCTTATAGGCATTTTTATTTATTCTTTTGGTCACAGCTACACTAATTCCTGTAACAAATTATTTGGTACTTAATATGACTCCTGCACTAGGGAATACCTATTGGCAGGAGAAAAAGGGATGGAAGAACCTTTGATAAAGCTCTAGCTAGGTCATGGTTAAAGGCAAGCCCTTTCATGCTGCAAAGCACCCAGCACTGAAGAAATGGAGCACTGTTTCAGAATGGGCAGCAAGCTAACTGATCAACTGCCAGAGCAGCATCCATGTGTGTGCCCATACCCACTGCTGAAGATGAAGGCAGCAAAGGGAGCAGTCATCATTTAGCAGCTCCCACGTCACATCTGAGCAGCTGGAAAGATGGAGCATCCCTGAAGCATTTCAAGGTGTCTTCTCTACCAATTCTGTATAAAAGGAGGAGAGAAATGATTATTTTGTCCAAATGTCTCCCACAGTTTTCCAGTATTGTCTCCCATTCCTTGCCTGCTGATGCCAACTCACATGCTGACGCTTGTCTTAGTCCTTCCATTGCAAGTGCCCAGAATGGTTAATAGGCAAGTTAAAGCTGTAACCTGACAGTAAAATGCTTTGAATCAGCCTAGGTCAGATGGATTCTGTGATATCTGACATGGACAATGTCTGTAATCCTACTTCTTATGTTATTAATCAGTTTTAATTTTAAATCTTAATTGTGGTTGATAAAAATATAGAGAAGAAAAGGCAGATGAAGTTCATAATTGTTTAATATAAAATACTCAGACCATCACAAATAAACAGGTTATTCAAAATATGATTGAAATTTTAATTATTTATAGTCAAATACATCATAATATTTAGTTTTATAGTACTTTGTAGACAAAATATGTAAAACACACTAGCTAAAAAATGATTGAGTTCTGCACCATTTAATTTTTCATGTCCAAATTAAAAAAATACCTGTAACAACAAAATGAACTATATCAAATATCTGAAGTTTTGAATTTCCAGAAGATGATGGCATTTCTTGGTCAAATTCACTCCTGGCATTAATCATTCATCTTTACTGCAATGGTGTTATAACAGGTATCATTCCTTGGGAAAGGAAGTTGTTATTCCTATTGTTTGAACAGTTGGGAGAAGCTTCAAACGCACTTCTAAGGCATTTCTGCTTTGAGTGAAGCATGATATCCCTATCATTTCATATAATCTGATAGAATTGCCACCAACTGATGTCACTGTTTACTTATTAGTGAGCATTCAGTTCCTTCTCAGGCCTATGACTAAATACAGATCTGTACAACACAGTACAAACAAGCCCACCACAGTTTATGCTCAGGCCACAAAAGTACAAGGCTTTTCAGCAGATGATACACTACAACTGCAAAATTTGAACTGTTTCTGCAATACATGGAGAATTTGAATAATGTATGAGGCATCTTTTTTAATAGCTCTTGTACAACTGGTTTTGCCACATTAATTGCTACAAGTTAATATGTAATACAGTAGGGTACTGTACAGTAAAAAGCAGCTCCATTAGGTTTATGTACCCAAAACACCCCTCTCATGCTTGTTTCACTGAGTTGTCCCATGGTGAATATGCATCCATCCTTGAAATGTCTTGGTCTAATACACACTTGTCTGTCAGGCTTCAGCTTCTCAATATAATCTTTCTGTAGGCTGCTTTGGGAAAATTATGAGTAGTCTGTTATAATGCTCTGAAGCAGATAAATTTAACAGCTGCTATCATCAGGCTGACAGTAAATAAATGAAAAAGCACTGCAACATGCTTCAGAGTCAGTGAAACCAGTGCTTAACCTGCTTAATTAGCAACAAGAAAGATCTACAGAGCAAAGTTCAGTTATCTACAGAGTATTTACTTACCGGAACAGCTACACCCATAGCTAAAGACTAAGTAGGCCACCTTAGCCCTCACGGCGTCAGTGAGCTTAACTCAAACTCTAACCATATTCAAACAGACAAAACCGAAAGTGCTTATATAGTTGAACAGTGAATGCCACCCATGTCACGGACCATAAAGAGGTATGTGTGGGTAAACAGATGTCCATTACCTGTTTAAAAAATCCTTTTGTGTGATAAAAGAGAGACCTGGAAAAGCAGCAGAGGTTTGAAGGAGACACTGTAACACCTCCATACAGGGAATGTCTGGCCAAAGGCCAGCAATTGCTCAGCATTTGTAAAATTCAGCTGATGGTTCCTGATCAAACATCACAACACTTGCAGCAAGTCAGTTTGTGGATGGCTGAAAAAATGGCAGAATTGCCAGTTTCTGTGTGCCAGCCATTTAGGATAGATCTCTTCCCTATTAAAAAAAAACAAAAAAAATACCCAAACCAAAACCCCCAAAAAATAACCAGCCAAAACCAAACAAACAAAACCCCAAACACCCACATTGTTGACAAACTTGAATGTATTTTCAGAAAGTGAAATGACTTCTCTTGTCAAAAGCACACCTGATGGGCAACGCAAATCATCTACTTGTGCATACAGGTCTGGTGACATTTATCTCCCATGCCATTTGGTTTTCAGACCAACTTTCACCCTCCCCAGTTTTCACAAATAGGGAGGCCCTGCAGGCACACTAACACACACCACCACCACCACTCCTCCCTCATGTGCCACCAACCTGGCTCCCACTGCCAGGAAAGAGTCAGGCACAGAAAACCTGCCCTACTAAAAGAGTATAATCTAACATACTTGCTAGTTATTATCTTGCTGGAAGTTAAACAGCAAGAGAATGTCATTTGCTGGAAGTATGTAATTCCCCATATGGCTCCAGGATGCAACCATGATGAGTAAAGAGTGTTGAATGAGTAAAGAAGTTGAAGTTTTGAATCAGTGCTCTTTGGGGTGAAGATTTTTTTATAGCATGGCTGTTTTCAGTATGGCTGGGAAGGCAGGTTTCTACAGAAAATAATAATGCATGTACTCCCAGATTATTTAACCTATCCAAGTCTACTTGACCTGCCTACATTTAGTCAGTGCAGCTATGTAATGAATTTAATTGCCCATTAATTTGTCCTTAGGTACGTGGTAATGAGTAGCTGCCAAGATTTGTTTTCTATCAGCATTTAAAGCCATAATTTGGTTAGCAATATATAGCCTCTGAGGTTTTCTTAGTTCTAGTTCTTAACTATTCGCTCTACTTTCCAAACCACTTCAGATTACTTTAGATAATACCCTTTGTTTAATTGCCTGGAAAACCTGACAGAAAGTGGAAGCAAGGACAGGCAGCCTGGGAGGAATACAGATTCCTCAGGGATCAGTGTTGGCACCTGTCTTGTTCAACATCTTGCTCGGTGATATGGACAGTGGCATTGAGTGCACCCTCAGCAGGTTTGCTGACGTCAAACTGTGTGGCTCGGTTGATACGCTGGAGGGAAGGGATGCCATCCAGAAGGACCTTGACACGCTTGTGAGGTGGGCTGATGCCAACCTCATGAAGTTTAACCAAGACAAGTGCAAGGTCCTACACCTGGGTCGGCACAACCCCAGGCACAGCTACAGGCTAGGCGGAGAAGAGATTCAGAGCAGCCCTGCGGAGAAGGACTTGAGAGTCCTGGTTGGTGAGAAGCTTGACATGAGCTGGCTTCAGTGTGCGCTTGCAGCCCAAGGAAGTTGTGAATGCTCCAACCCTGGCAGTGTTCAAGGCCAGGTTGGACAGAGCCTTGGGCGACATTGTTTAGTGCGAGGTGTCCCTGCTCATGGCAGGGTGGTTGGAACTGGATAATCTTAAGGTCCTTTCCAACCCAAACCATTCTATGACTCTATGATTCTAAATTGTCTGAACAACCAGGGATCAGGTTAGGAAAGCTAAAGTCCTTGGATGGATGGTCACACTCAAAGAGTTGTGGTCAAGGGCTCGATGCCCAAGCGGAGACCAGTAACAAATGGTGTTCCTCAGGGGTCTGTATTGTGACCAATTCTGTTTAACATCTTTGTCAATGACATAGGTAGCGGAATTGAATGCACCCTCAGCAAGTTTGCCAAGGACACCAACCTGTGCAGTGCAGTTGACATGCTGGAGGGAAGGGATGCCATCCAGAGGGACCTTGACACGCTTGAGAGATGGGCCTGTGCCAAACTTGCTGAAGCTCAACAATGCCAAGTGCAAGGTCCTGCACCTGGGTCGGGGCAATCCCAGGCACAGCTACAGGTTGGGTGGAGAAGAGATTCAGAGCAGCCCTGCGGAGAAGGACTTGAGGGTGCTGGTGGCCGCGAAGCTCAACATGAGCTGGCTTCAGTGTGCACTTGCAGCCCAGAAACCAAATGTATCCTGGGCTGCACCAAAAGGAGAATGATCAGCAGGTCGAAGAAGGTGATCCTGCCCCTCTACTCTGCTCTCGTGAGACCCCATCTGGAGTACTGCGTTCAGTTCTGGGGCCTCCAACTTAACAGGGATGCAGATCTGTTAGAGTTAGGCCAGAGGCCATGAATATGATCAGAGGCTGGAGCATCTCTCCTATGGAGACAAGCTGAGAGAATTGGGCTTGTTCAGTATGGAGAAGAGAAGGCTCTCAGAGCAGCATTCCAGTATCTAAAGGAGGCTACAAGAAATCTGAAGAGGGAAGGGCTTTAAACTACAAGAGGGTAGGTTTAGATTAGATATGAGGAAGAAGTTCTTTACAGTGAGGGTGGTGAGACACTGGCACAGGTTGCTCAAAGAAGTGATAAATGCTCCATCCCTTGCAGTGTTCAAGGCCAGGTTGGACGGGGCTTTGAGCAACTTGGTGTAGTCGAAAGTGTCCCTGCCCATGGCAGGGGGGTTGAACTAGATGAGCTCTAAGGTCCCTTCCAACACAAACCATTCAGTGATTCTATGACATCAGCCAGACCCTCTTCCTTTAGAACCCACTTACATGTGCATAGGACTAGCTGCTAAAATCAAGATTATTCTCTTTGGATCTATCAGATACATAGTGTTTAAATGTTTACCAGAAACATGAATTCACTCCTTTTTATTCCTTGCTTTAAAAACACAAATCATTTTAGTACATAATTCATTAATAATTTATTACAAGAGAAACAGCATAATTTCACTAAAAATTAGTTATTCCAAATTAGTAACTAAATGTAAACTTTTCTAAAAATAACATCTGTTATAGGAAATGTTTTTTATATAAAAGGATAATCAATAATTTACTCTTAACATGACAGACTTCCTGTACACCATGAAAAATAAGCATTGGCTTGGTTTTCTGACATTGCAAGAAAAGAACTATTTTCCTAGTATATTTTATTTATGTATAAAAGCAGTTACACAGAACCAGTAGAAAATACAGAAATTCTGTTTGGTACAAGTTAATTGACTGCCAGGAATTGTTATAAAAAGAGCCCAGACTTGGTATAAAAAGAGGCCAGACTCTGCTCAAAGAATTACTACATACCTTAAAAAAATGCCAACGCACATCCATTCAAGATTGGACTGGTTGCTTTTTTGTACAAATAACCCATTTGGCCACACCATAGTGATGACGATATAAGCAAATAGAGGCACCATGAGCTATGCAGATGGGATATGAGGATTTCTTTTTCTCTTTTCAGAGTTAATCAATATTTTCTTCAGTTATTCTTTAAATTATATGACAATTTCACAGTGAAAAGTAATGCATGTTTTTGTTAAAAGGCAAATTGAAAAGAAAACTCCATCTTTAGTCTTCTTCTTACTTGTATTACCTGTTCTTAACTATAAAGATTTTGTAGCTTGAATCTGGCCAATAAAGCCAAAGTATCCTCTACATTAACTAAGAAGTAATGAAACCCCATTTACAGACTTTCTTCTTTGAAGATGCATTTTATCAGCAAAGAATTGCTGCAAGACTCATCACCTGGGAACCCGAAAAAAAGCTGTATAGATTGTCATTATATTTTCAAGGCAAGTACATTTGTTGTGAAAATGTCTCTATTGCTGGGGTAACATTGCTGCCTCCTCCTGCACTGTTGAATGTGCTTCTCAAATTAGGCAATCACAGCGGATGACCTGAAAAAACATTGCCTAATAATGTCTTCTGGTCTTCTTTTTACATCGGCAAGATTACCTCCAATATTTTATAAAGTACTGCGAGCAGAAGAACCAGCCATGCTTTTCAGTCTCACATTTTTCAGATAATTCTCTTCATTGTAAAAATGAGGGTTTAGAAATAGGTGCAAGTGATTGATACAGTTTCTACCTCTTCCTATAGGTATGTCAGCTACAAACCTAACCAAGTGAGAAAACAAAAAAGGAGCTTGGAGTTTAACTTTAAGCTAGTATCCATAGCATTACTTTCCAGTTTTTGGTAGCTTCTACAGCATCACTAAAATTAATTAACAAATGAGATGTTTCATAAATATCTTTCAAAAAGGAAGTACTGAAACTGCACAACACAAACATAGATGAGATTATCAGCAGCAACTCTTTTGTTCTTGGAGCTAAAGTATGAGCTTTTTTTTGTGGAACATTTGCTTTTATTATGTTCTTTGAACGTTAGAGGCTGCTTCATGAGGAGGTTCTGCGGTAAAGATACTAACCTTCAAGGCCTACAGTGGATTAATAGCTAAAATATCTAATAGAAGCAAATACTAGTTTTTAAAAAAGATGAAAAAGCCGACCTAAAACAAAAGATGTTTTGATGTTTCTCACCTCTCATTTACAGCCCTTCCTTTACCCAGTATTTTTAGAAATAGGGCACAGACTGGAAAATGGATTTTGCTTTTATAATGGAATATAAATAACAAACAAGACCGATTTGCTATTAAGAGTGAGAAAAAAAATTTGAAAAGCTTAAATGGGTTTTGGTGAATAGATGGCAGTATTAGGAAGAAGTATGTAAATAAGGAAAGTCCCTTCTTAAGCCTCAGAGTAGTATAAAATAGACTGGAAATATTTAATTGCACTTTTTGGTTTTCTTCCACTTATTCTTCAATCTTATGTATTTTTTTAAGCCAATAGAAAGTGTTTTCAGGTCTCTAATGAATTTGATTTTCTTAAAATGAAACTTGGTTATAGTTTTGAAATAGAAAGGTATTCAGGGATTTGCAAACCATTCAGGATTCCCGAGGCAGAAGAGCTAAAACTTTGCTGGTAAAAAACAGATTTTGAAGGAGACTAGTTACCAAGAACCGTATTTCATAAATTTTTCTGGTGATGTCTATTCAAGGTTCATTGATAGGTGATCAAAAGTGAAAAAATCTTGCATAAAATTGTATAAGCTGAAAGGGTTAAACACTGTTTTTTTCATATTGTATCTCCAATAGATGTTCGTCATGTAGAATACCTACAAGTTTGCTTGGCAATAAAGTACAAAAATATAAAGAAAGCCTGAAATATTAAGGCCATAGCAAAGTGCTTGTCACTTCAGCACAGATTATCTTTTATCATGATGGGAAAATCGCACTTTGTAAACATAGCTTACAAAGACCATCATTTTCTGCTAAAATTCTCCAACAACAGGAGATGCTGCACAAAAAAAAGGACAAGGTTTTTCATTGCCTAATATACAATCACCATCAGGTTTCCGTCATGTTAATTACTGAACATTTGTATTCATTACTACCAACAGTGGGCACACAGAGAAGTGGCCCACACTTAACTGGCCTTACAGATGGTTTTCCAGAAGACTGCAGAAAAGAGCAGCATTCTGGTAGACACAGGTGGGCTGAGTCCGCAATTCATGATACTTTAATGTTGAACACTGCTAGAGAGTTTCATTGGCTGAATAAAACATTGTCCTCCTCGTATGCCAAAGCAGGGTCTTCCATGCTCTCCAGTAAGGTGTGACAAGTTTCGTATTCTCGGTGTGGTAATGATGATTCTTTGGCAACAGTGGACATCAACTGATTCCAGGTGATGTTAGTATTTTTGAAGGTGTGCAGTAGAAAAATACCAATGAGGATAGTGCAGAAACCACTCAGGGTTCCAATGATATCGCCCTGGTCCATACTACTCCATTCCTTGAACAGGATGATGGAGCATGTCACAACCGTTGTGGTGAAACACACGTAATAAATAGGCGTCACTAAAGATGTATTGAACACATCCAATGCTTTGTTGAGATAGTTGATCTGCGTGCTGACTGAAAGCACTAAGACGCCCACCAAAACGTAAACCAATGGATGTTGATACACTCGCTTCTGCTCCAGCATTTGTTTAATGGCGATGCCCAGGCCTTTCACAGACGAGACAGAGAAGGCACCAATGAGTGAGCAAATTAGAATGTAAATCAGAATATTTGTCTGGCCTCTCCTTGGAGCCACAATAAAAATCAGCATGAGGGCAACAACTGTTAGTAGAACAGCAAATGTAACAAATGCTGTAAGAAAGAGAAAAGAGAAGAAGAGTAATGTGTATGAGAGAAAATACCAGACTACATCCAAGTACACGCTAAATTTATTCAGCATCCTGAACACTTCTCTATGAACTGTAGCACATGTTCACTGCAATTGCATACAGACCTGGATCTTGCAGCTTTCTTTCCATCTCATCTAGTGAGCTGACCTCCTCCTCCTCAGGGGCATGAATAACCATGACTGTTGACCCCAAAATGCTCAGTACACAGCCCAGCTTTCCATGAATATTCAGCTTCTCATTTAAAAAATAGGATGATAATATAGCACTGTTCAGCAAAACACAAATAAAAGGTTCAGCTCCAACACCCACATGAGAAATTCAAAATTTGTCTGTGCAACATGAGAGTAGTTTAAAACCTCTTCTGAATTTGGATATATGGGAAACCAGCCTCAAACAATAAAATTTTAAGGAGTTTTGCAAGAAGGTTGGTCAGGACCCAGAAGGTCAGGTTTTAGGAGGGTTAACTACCCTCACCTCCAGGTTGTTATGGGTCCAAATTGCTCAAGGAACTTCCCATTACTGATTGTCTGAGTAAGTGGTATGCACTCTCACACACCTGCTAATAATGAGAGCTGTTATTTTCTTCCAGAAATGGTTTAAAGCACCTGAACTGCCATTAGAACCAGTGCACTCACGTTTTAGAAACTGTTCCTCATCTATCCCTGGGCTCTCCCACTCAGGCACTATTTCTGCCTGGTTTGCCAGGACTCCCCTAAAAACACAGAGAAGGCACATCTCCCCCTTTGAAGAAGACTGGCCCCAGGCTCTCCAAGGTGTTCAAGATTTAACCTAAGGACAGTAACACAGCCCAGATGAGGCCACATCACAGGGCACATGATTAGTCAGCTAGAGCACAACTTTAGGCACAGACACAGGCTTAATGGTGTGTGGTTGTGCTCACAAATTGTTTTTCAAATTAAAGCCATTTTTTCACACAAGGGTGGCAAGCTCGCTGACACAAAGTTCTCACGACCTCTCTGTTCAGTGAAAACTGTAGAGATTGCTATCTACATCAAAGAAGAGGGGTGCTAAACTCAGGCTGTTTTGCAAAGCAGCAGCCAGGTGGCCAGTTAGTCTGCATCTACCTACGCCCTCATCCCAGCACATCTATAGACGACTGAGTTACACAGGTTTTGCTATGACAGAACGGCTGCGTTTTTAGCAGTTAAATTACTGCAAGCATCTTTAGGAAAAAAAAAAAAAAACAAGCCAAAACAAAAATCATGGCCAAGGTTAGTTTTAAACACAATGTTTCATATAAGTATACTCAGATCCCAACAATTAGTTTTACATTTAAAATGCAATAACTCCATTTCTCTAGTAACTTATGTCCCAGAAAATTTGTTGTAAGCATAATTCATGTCTTCTCTGCTTCTGTGCTAGCCATATTAATATATGTACTTAAATATCTGGAAATCATTTGTTTCTTCATACATAGCAAATAATGATTGTTTGAACAGCATTCATATATCAAAAGACCCACAAATTTTAACTGCTGATATTAAACGAGCTAAGATTTTCTTTGCCTGCTTTCCAGAAGGACTTGGAAAAGACCAAACAAACCCAAAATGTTTACTAAGTGTGCCTTAATATGAAATTATGCTCCTATAAAAAAGAAATGGTTTTGAAAACATTTTAGTGGGGAAATACTGTATTTTTTTGAAAGTACCATTGCAACTGAAGAACAGGATATGACTTTTTAAGAAAGCTTCAGTTCTCTAGGAAGAGATAAACTGCACCTTTCTACTACTGTGCATCAGCGGCATACCCAGGACACACTGATAAGAAACAGTTTATAATATAGGTGGAAGGCTGTTGGGAAAGCATACAGTGGTTTTTTTGGAACAAGACTTCTCACTCCCTCTACCCAGAATATTCAGTTCTAAATAATCAAGGGATCTTTCCACCAAGGAACAAAAGGCTTTTTTTTGTCCATATATTGCTTTTCAGTTTTCCTATTAAAATTCTCTACTTTCAGCCAAAGACAGTATTTTTCCCTCACTCAGCAAATGGTTCATCTGTCAAGGTTTGCTTCCAGTACTAACCTTATGAGAACACTCAGTGCACCCAAGGGAGTAACTAAGGTTGCAGGTGCAAACGCATAGGCAGCAAAGTTTGCAGCTTCTCCTAATCCCACTGCAGAAGAAAGAAGATTTGGATCAGGTTGAAGGGTGGGGATAAAAGGCATAATATTATAAATATTTTCTATGATAGCAAATACAAACCAGAATCTTTTCCTACACTATATATGCAAATTTTCTTTTCCAAATTATCTGCATAACCTCCTCTGGACATAATACAGGCTGAAGAAAGTTAAATACTTTTCCCCTGAGTACTCTTAGAAGCTGGACAGATTCAATCCTATTGTTTTGGATGGGATATTAAAGAAGAGGTTGCTATTCTGCAAAGAGCTACAAAGATCAAACACAGATTTGAGAGACGGGATATCAGAACAGCTTCTATCATAAAGGTGATTGCAAAGACATTTCTTTTAAGTGAAGAGAGTGAAAAATTGGGGAATAAATCTATTTAAAACAATCTGCTTTATGTATCATTTACATATAGGTTGAGAGAAGTGACTTACTTGATAGCAATCCTGCCCACCAAAGCCATTCCTTCAAGTAAGAATATCCGCCTTGGCCTGAAAGTGGAAAAAATAATCTCATTCTCGAAGAAAGAGAACACCTTATTATAACAAACAAAACTACAGCTTCACGTTTCCATCTAGTCCTAGAAAGTACAGAAAGAGCACGTTATCTGAATGTGACATGAAGAATATTTTGATTTTGACTGACATTTTCATTAATCACTTTACTGCTTTGTGAACTAGACTTTTGAAAAATTCTATTTCACTAAATATATACGGAGGGAAAGTTCCAAGTAGAAGTAAAATGTCCATGAAGATTGCTGGCGAGCTAAGAAATGCTTCAAAGTGCTTTCCCAGGTCACAGCCAATATATTCATACACAGTCGGCTGCAGTTTGACTCTGCTTATACTTTAAATTGAGAGAAATTAGAAAGAAAAATGACACTGCATGCATTCATTTTTTTAATATGAAATATAAGTATGTTAAATATGCAGTTTTTTCAAAAAACAAGTAACAGTTTTTTTCAAATAAAGAAATTCTCTGGAACAGTACATTACAATAAACACTAGAAACAAAAGAAAAACTGCTAATGCTATACATTTAAATCCACACAAAGAGAATTTTGAGATTAGTTCAATAGGTCTTTTTCTAGCTCCTCATCTGTTGAGTTTGATAAAAGAATAGTTGTACTAACTGTAGAAACTTTTGTACCAAGTATCCTTTCTAGAGCTTTCCACAAAACCTAAACCTAGTTACCTTCATAAGACTTTCAAATGTCTCAAATGAGAAGAAAAAAATAAGATGGAAAAAAGAGGAAGGCGTTTTGAACAGTAAGATGAATGGAGACTTCTATGTGGTATCTAACTGCAGCCAGGGAGGAAATAACACTAGATTTAATACCCACTATTACTCTCATAGGTCTAGAGTTCTGAAATCCTAGTCCCTGTAATCACACACAGAGAAATAATACTGCATCTCCATCCCCAGCCAAGACAGGACTTCTGATCACCATTAAAGTATGACAGCTTTCAACTACAACAGATTTAAACATGTGGCCTGTGACTCAAACCTTGATTTTGCCCAATTATAAGAGGCATCTGTGTTCCAGGAAGAGCAAGGCAACACCATCGCTTACCAGCTCGGGGGACTCCTTTGTCTGCCAGTTTCAAAAGTCCTTTCTTCTTCAGTATGAAACTAGAACCAATAAAGGTACTGGAGCCTATTGCCAGAGCCAAGCCAATGTAGAGATGATATTTGCTTCCAGCAAGCATGGGAATGCTCTGGTTTGTTTCATTAACAGTCCCGTCCATACAGGCAAGGAGAGAAGAATGTGATTCAGATATGTTGATGATCTGGCACCATGCCAGGCAGGAGTTATGACAAACAAGAGAGAGCACAGCACCTGCAAGGAGAAAAAAGGAGGACAAGTGATCCACGAGCCAGGTACAGCTCTGGAGGAGTCCCATCCTCGCTCTGCTCACTCCTTTCCATGTCTTCCCTGAGCGCTTGTAATTTCTGACCATTCAAATAACTCACAAAACATAGATAACATACACAATGCTGCCCCAGGCCATTACCCACTTCTGTAATTCACAGGTGCCTACATTACTTTTTATATATATTTCCACTACATTGGCTCAGTCAAGCAATTAGAGCAATACCAAGAAATGCAACAATAAAATATTACCTTTGATGTAAAATTCAACTTAAAATCTTAAAAGCTAACCTGAAACCTCAAGATGAAAGGGTTCTTTTGTGTCGTGAAGAGACCACATCCCCAAAATGCAAACATATAGCCAAATCCATTATTTCAGACTTTGCCTGCTAGGGTAAGCTTGCTGTTATTCCAGGCTTCTGAAGCTTTTACATTTGTAGCTGAGATTTGGAAACAACAAATAAAAAAGAGAAGGACAATCTATATAGGGAGCAAACTCATGCTGCATATGGGTGCTAATGCGTTTCACTATAATTCAGTCTACTGGGTGAGACAGATCTTTAACCACTCATAAAATTTTGAGGTGGAGGCCTCAGTACACCTCACAACCATTTTCATCTAACCTCAACAACCCCTTGCTGGAGGAAGACCACAGCCTGCAAGGGACAGTCCCCCTGGCTATCCCTGACACACAGCTGGCTGATCCTTAGCTAAGGCTGAAGCTACACACCCTCAGCTAGCAAAGCCTGACCAGCATCAGTACAATGACAGCCTGTGGGAATGACATCATTGCAATCAGCTTAGACATGTTTTTAAAAGGAAGAAGACGTATTGCATTTCCAAGAACAAAAGGAGTCATTGCTTTGCATGAGGAAGCAGGGGACAGGCACCAATGCTGCGACAGGGCTTACAGTATCCTAGGCTCATGCTTCACAGTTTCTCACAGTAAACTGCACCACGCAAACAGCATGGATCAGACAACCTAGCCAGGAACAACCTTTTTGGAAAGAAAGGTTTCATTGCAAAGACCTGTTAACATATGAAATGGCTGATGCAGAATTGCAAAAGCTCAGTCCATTGTGATTCATACAAAGCGTTGGATGCAACAATTAATTTTACTTTCCATGTATTCCCTGTAATTAAAACGACACATGAAAGATTCATCCTGCTGAGTGACACCATCAGTAATACACTCACTTCTTTCTTCCAACTGAAAAAACACTTAGAGACTTGGTAGAAAAGGATGTGTCTCTGTGTCTGTTCATACCTAAACTCTGGAAATATGAATATTCTGACTTCATTAAACAATTATAAGCAGCCTTGGATAATTCACCTAATGCTGTTTAGAAGGGAGTATTTAAAACAGAAAGAGTATTAAAACCCATATGAAATTTGACAGCATATCTTCATTTGCAGCTGACAATGCTGATATTAACAATGAGAAATAACACCCTTTATGAGTAAAGAACTAGAACAAGTATCTGCTCCCATTTTTCCTGTGCCATACTGCACAACAGACTTACTAAAGGAAGTTATCAATTTATTTTCAGGATGTGCAGTCACATTTCCTTGTTTGCTAGGAGAGTTTCTATATAAACAGGAGTTGGTTTGTATAGCCAGACTTTGCAAAAACGGTCCCACAAGATTGGTACGTCCATATCCTGCATCTAAAGATTAAAATCTCAAAGAATTTAACATCTACATGAAATTACTTTTGCATAGGATGTAGGATAGAAGTATTCTGCCATCTTGTTATTACTAGAAGCTGCAGTTGGATAATGTAAAAGAAATGTAATTTGCATCTGTATCTGAAAGTATTTTCAAAACCTAAAGTATTAGCAATGCCTTATGAGAGGAAAATTTTGCATATACTTAAATTTTAATGTAATTATTAAAGATTAAATTAGAAAGAAAATTACAGAGAAGTCCTTTGAGCATAGATGTTTTTCTTAGCTAACATGTGTCAGGGCAAGGCAAAAAAGACAGAGAGGTTGCCAGTGAATTAAGTCCCATAGTTCTCAGTATCTTATAATGATGCTAAACTGGACTGGTGATGGTTGTACCACCACCACTCAGCTACTACAGGCTGTATGTGAGAAGCAGCTCAATTATTTCCTTTAATTAAAAGAAAGCATGAAGATAAAAAACTCCTGGTAATCATGGTCTTTTAGCTACCTGTAGTGGTAGGTGGTAAGGCAGCTTTCTATCAGCATGTTGGGTTTCTACAGTGAAGAAAATAACACTCTTCTTCCTCTTTTTGTGAATGGTGTACTTTCATTTAGCTGAAGGTGAATGGCAGGCTTACTCCCTTCCATATCACACTACTACTACTTTTTTGACTGCCTTTTTTCATTCCCCAGCAGACTTTATGACACCGAATAATGAAAATTTAATTGTGCCATCTGTAGTAAGTCACTCAGTGACTGCCACTGGATGTTTCTCTCCTTTCTGAAATACAGTCTTTGCTCACATTTACAGAGAGAGGGTGGCTCTTCCGCCTGTTGCGTCTGCCAGTTGAGAAGTGTTATCCTGAATGGTTGTGATCTCTGTTTATTGTGCTGAGAAGCTTTCTCTAATTCTAAAAAGTGTGTCTTTTGTTCCACTTGCATGTTAAGTGGTATGTCGCTCTGCTGATTGAAGAACCACCTGAGAGCTGGGAAGAGGAGGCTGATCCAGGAATTACTATTACTTTATTGCCCACTGTAAACAATCTGAAGATACCTGGAAACACTGAGGAAGGTGACAAATCTCTGCGGCCGCCTGGCTTGCTCAGCACACAGTTTCTGTAGCTAAGCTAGTTTCACCTCCCACTTCCAATGCTGCCAAACATGAACCTGTCAGCAAAACCCCTCCTTGCAGAAATAAACTCTCCCAGCTCTGACTCAAGGCTGATAGCAACAGGAAGCCAGCCTGAGTTCAGGCGGCCACTGTTGTAACTTCTGAAGTGTTTTTATGATTCTGAAAATTATTTCTCATTTTCAGAATCAAACACCTTATTTTCTCAAACACCTAAATAGTCTGTGAGTTGGACAGATTGGCCAGCCTGATCCTACATGCTTTTTTTAGCAAGTTTAACTTGCTGTTGTTCTGCGGTCCTACAAAAGCCTAGGACTAATGTACCATATGGTTTGCTAGTGAGAGCCAGCTTGGCTTTTATCTTGCTACTGAAGATACTGGTCCTAAGTCATCTGGAAAAATATTTGCTTTGATTACACATGTAATTTGACCCTTTTTATTGCACTCAGGGGTCAGCTCACACCTGGCAGGAACACAGAAAGCCTTTCTTGGTCATGCAGGAAATACCAAGCCCAGTTTTGCAAAGGCCTGGCTACTGAGGCTGAAAGTGGGTGTATGGAAAAGCAGCAAGGATTTGTTCCCCATGACACAAAAATGCACGAAAGATGCTGAAAAGAGGGTCTAGACATGAGCCAGCCTTGGGAGAAGCAGAGCAGGAGCCTCCCCAGCACCAGCAGCACCATGCTCATAGAATCATAGAATCCTAGGATGGTTTGGGATGGAAAGGACCTTAAGATCA